GAGCAAAAGGTGTGAATCTGGGCCCCAATGATACCCAACACGAAGAAGGAAAGAGGGACAAAAACAAGGGGATGTTGAACCCCCACTTGCACTCACTACATACACATAACAAAACAACAAATAACCAACTTTTAAAATCTGTTACGGCCAGAGGTCTTTCTTCTATGTTTATACTAAAGCATGGAATGACATTCCTCAAAACATAAAGTCCATTTCAAAACCACAGCCCTTTAAGAAGAATCTTGTCCGCCATCTGCTGGACACTTTTTGTTGTGCTCATATTTAGACGTCCTATTTAGCAAATGCTGCCTTCCTGAAATTTGGTAAGCTTGTTTGTCTTTGTGTCTATGGTTGTGCTGCTGTATTTCTGAGTGTTTTATGTGCTGCAGAACAGGAACCTGTTGTAAAAGAGCAATTATGCAGAGTCAGGCTTGATTTTTAGTAATTTTTTCCTGTTAAATAAATCAATCAAATCAATCTATGAATATGACCAGAGCATTGCTACAATAACAGACTGTAGAGAAGAAGACACGTTTCTTTAGATTATTTTGAGTCACAAAGATGAAGAGTCAAGAGTTCAACTAATGTTTCAATAAACAAAGATATTCGCTTAAAGAGTTCCCCTTTGATGTCACTTCCTGTTTCACTTCAACTGAGCCRAGTTCAAAAGAAAATATGTCAGTCAAGATACAAAATGGGTAAAATTGTGAGTTTTATGTCTAGTTTCTTATAAATAAAATTGTTTTCTTTGACTTTCTGTATTTGAAGGATATGATTGTCACAGGCACTTTAAACACATCAGGTTTGATTGTGATTCTTCTCTCCTGAATAAAATATCACTTTCTGCAGGCAGGACATGTGGGTTTCACCTGGCCAATGCAAAGTGACAATCAGCAAGGGCTGCCTAAAAATAAGTTGAACAAAGATCTATAAAGTCTAAATGTCTTTCCATTGACTGGAAGAGAGAATTACCATAAAGTTCAGAAAAGCTGCACCACTTAAGATCATCTTCCTTCTCTTGGCTGTCCTCTCCTTCTGTCCCTCCTCTGGACATGTCCAAACCATCAGTGTCAGTCCTTTAACCTGTGCTGACTCTCTGATGAGCTCATTCCTAATCCTAATCTTCATCCTCCTATAGAAACCTTTTTATATGTGATAAAACGGCAGCATGCGGGAAAATTAATTACCGTAAAAACTGAGAAATGTGCGCAAGTAAATATATAAAAACTACTAATCAGGGTCCAGTTAAKACTTAATTTGGGTTTGTATTCAGATCTTTTTGTGGACACTGTTATGCTAAAAAAAAATCAATATGGGGGGGGGGGGGCCTTTTGTTCTAAACTGTGATTTAATCAATCAGCAGGTAGTAGGTGTGTGAGATCAGCTGATTATTTCTCCTTTTTTATTCTGAAAATTAACTTCTTATTTAAAAAAATCCATATTTTCTGTGTCCTGGTTTAAAAACACCTGCTTCAAATAAAAAAAGGTTGTCATAAACTCACCTGAGCTCCCCCGAACAGCAGCACGGTCTTTCCGTTTGACCGCCACGCGCCTGAACTCCTCTGTCTGRTGACGGCTGGTCCTCATGGTCAAACTGTTCTTCTTCTTCAGGTCGAACATCTTTATTTAAAAAAAAACACATATATTTACATTCACTCTTCGAGCAGCAGAAACAAAACAAAAACAACAAGAAACTATCAGTGGAGCCTCAATGTGCTGTTTGTTCACCTCAATCAGCACCGACACCTGGGCGCTCATAAGCCCCGCCCCCTTTGATTTAAATATCGCGTCCTAAATATCTTAAACTCCTCCATTTGCTTCCCAGAACGACAGCAGCTCAAGATAAACAACTTTTCTGTGAGATTTAAATTGAAAAATGAAATCTGTGTTGTTGTTTTTTTAATGGCTGCCCTCTGGTGGACTCAGACTGTAACTGCAGCTCGGTGTTTTTAAAACACACCTGTTGTTTTCCATCTGAAACTACTCAAAAACATTTTTCAGGACTGCTACGAAAACAGTTGTGTTTTGTCCTGCAGGGAAAATGATACTGTCAGAAGTGGGATTCGAACCCACGCCTCCAGGGGAGACTGCGACCTGAACGCAGCGCCTTAGACCGCTCGGCCATCCTGACGTGACGTCATTAAACATTATATGTTTATCTGACAATCAGTGATTTYACATTTAGAGTCATTTTGATTAAAGATGGCCAYCACAGACATTTGAACTTAGGAAACACAAAAAATACTACGTATCAGTCGTTTTTATAGATACCTGTAGTAGTTGAGACTCATTCAAATTTTTCTTTCATCATTCATTTCAAAGTGTCACCTGTGTGAAGATCTCTGCTGCCCTCTGGTGGGTTTAACCTGGAAATGCAACTTTAATACATCAGAACCCTAAAACAATTACCATTTTAGGGTTCTGATG